GATGTTTGCTCACTCTGTGGTCATTTGAAAACGTGTAAATGATCATTGACAAAACAAATTATGGAAAAACAGCTGTTACTGAAAATGTGACTTTAATTATGACTGAGTTTGTGCTGTTATACTTTAAGGAGAGGGGCTATGCTCTCCTTAAGAGAGAATTTCTCTCTTAAGAGAGAAAATTCTGTTTTCTGATACACTTTATTATCTGTATGTTATTATTAAAAAGATTAGGTTTTCAGTGATTTTCAGTGACACAAGTTGAATTACCTATAATGTCTATTTAAAGAAAATAGCAGAGCCTAACTCCACACAACAAAATTCCTTTTTATATGTGGATGCTTTATAACTAAGCGTATCTGAGCTGGAATAAGTGAAACACAATATCAATGTAAATTACAGCTTTCCAGTTTGATCAGATTTTCTATTGTACCATTTTACCTCTATTTTCTGTACTTCGGTTCAACTGCTTTAGTTTACTGCTTCAGGTTCAGCTGCTGGACCAAAGAACTGTACACAGCATAATGAAAGGTCCACAGAAGCAAACACACAAAGGGGTGATCTGGCCCAAATGCCAGATATTTTCAACAGCAAGCAGGAGAGTTCAGATTCAGTCTACTTTAGTTCACTGAAACAACTGTGGGTTGCCAGGCTACAGTCCACAGTGTACTAAACTGCTACGTTTTATTATTTGATGGTATATACCAAACTCAAATACCAAAAATTGGCACAATGTCCTCTGCCTGTTCCCATTTTTTTTGCAAACACAACAATGAATAGGGTAAGAAAATACAAATAATTAAGTTTGCAGAGTAAAATCTTATGTAGAAAAATCAGTTTGATGGCACCTGATACATGTTCCATTGAAGGGATGCTTCTATAGTATCTTATAGTGATGCAAATGCAAGTAAGCATATCACAGCATGCAAATGTGCTATTAATGAAACATTACTATATGTTACACACATACAACATAGGACTCTGAAAAGTTCTGCTCTGCTAATCCTGAGGACTCAAAGCCATGAGTAGGACCCACAAGTGCTATTACAAAACAAATAATACAGATTTCATTCTGAAGAACAGTTCACAAACTATGTCACTACTTATGATCTGAGTGAACACAAAGTCTCAGCACTGGAAATATTCTCAATTATTATTTGAAGCCTATTAAAGCCATCAATCAGCAGCACCCTCAAAACCTGCCTTTTTTTTTAATCAATTCCATTTTGTAACACAGAATTTTTTAGCAGTGAGTATTTATAACCTAAATTACAAATACAAGGTTTCTGCCTGCTTTGTGTTTTGTTCCTGACCCAGTGTTATTTTTCCTCCAGTTCTGATCCAACCAGCTATTTAAATTCACCAGGATGTTCGCACGTTTCCTAATTCACTTTATATGTGCTAGCACATTCTTTTTAATTATTTTTTTTTTCTTTTGGCATTCAACACTTCATATTAAAATGCAAATTCTCGACTGTAAATGTTGAGTCATCAGTGCTCTGTAGAAGTCCTGCTGCTGTTCTATAGAATGGCAAAGAATCTGCCCAGAAGAGATCGCATGTCCTGCCATGAGAAGCTACAATGTGACAAAAGTGAGAGAGCTTCTGTATTGATAATAGAGGGTTTCAAGCACACAGTGGGCAGAAGTCCTAACATACTTGAAAAATATTTAACTGAACAATAATGGAGCAATGCCAAATACTAAAAGTTACCAAAGATAATTTTAATTGTTGTAGATATAATAGTGTTCAATGACAGCTGTTTTGGAACAAAAAGGTTATTTCCTGCAAATTATTGTAATATTTTTCTCCCAAAATAGCCCCTGATTCACTCCTAACATTACCTGGCATCCTCAAATGGCTAGCACAGACTAAAAGCCAAACTTTATTTTTTAAGAGTTTTAAGATCGTAGATCAAAATAATGATTTACTTGAACGACTAAGAAGAGTCAGAAGGGCAGCCCACAAACCAATGGAACTATTTGCATGAATGAAGCACGATGACTTTAAAATAACAGCTATTTCAAGCTGTATTGCCTGACCATATTTTATTTCCTTGTGCTTCTGCAAAACAAAATTCAACAGTCAGTAAGGATTAAAGCTACTGCTTCTCTACCCAGCAAAATTCCACGCATGTTGGCAGAACATTTTTATGATGAAGATTTAATCACAGAGTAAGCAGATACTGTTTACGCAGTAGAAACTGTCATCTGAGGCCTCTGAGTTCAGCATCTGTGTACATTTACACAAAACAGCATTTGAAAAATATTATGCCCTAACACTACAAATATTAATGTACTTTTTCACTGTGCTGCTGTCAGTAGTCTCACACAGCTACCTGTGAATCCAGGCATAGAAGTCAATAATTTTGTGTGCATTTTGTTGGGGTGTACCTCAGTGGTCACAACTTCCATGGAAAGGAAGCAATACAGTTTGTGAGATGTAAGGAAGGGATGCTTCCATGTCATTGTTATGCCACTGCTCCTCGTGATTCTTTCAGAACCTTCCTCAAATGACATTAGTTTAGGATGTGTAGTATTATAATAATATATGTTCATTATATAGCATTATAATAAAAAAATATATACAAAGACAAAAGAGGTTTTAGCAGTCCAACTGCTTTATTTAGTCTTAACTCGTTATTGAAAGCCATGCAACCCATCTGCCGCAAAGACTAATGAAGGTATTTCATAATTAAATCTATAGCATAGTCTGCATGCCAACTAATTTTTCTTCAGCCTGTAACAACTATATCTGTCCTAAAGAATCACAAAATATTTAAAATGCTTATAAGTATATGCAAGTAAAAAAAAAAAGGTGGGCCTATAAGAAAAATGGGGAGAGACTTTTTCAGCAGGGCCTGTTGCAATCGAACGAGGGGTTATGGTTTTAAACTGAAAGAGGGAGATTCAGGCTGGCTGTGAGACAAGAGCTGTTTACAATGAGGGTAGTAAAATCCTGGCACAGATTGCCCAGAGGGGTGGTAGATGCACCACCCCTGGAGATGTTCAAGGCCACGCTGAATGTGATTCTGGGCAATCTGCTCTAGTTGAAGATGTCCCTACTCACTGCAGGCGGTTGAGCTTTGAAGGTCCCATCCAACTCAACTTATTCTATGACTCTAAATGTATGAACCTAATTTACCATTTATTTGAAAGACACATCAATCTCCTTGGTTTAAACCCTTCCAGATTTCCCCCTCTGCAATAGAAATAGCATGAATTTGAGATCCATGCCACTGTGGCTGAAATGCTGAGGAACTAATCCCTAGGGCTAGGCAGGATACCAGGAGATGCTCTTGATCCTGTGCCTTTCACGGGGGTTTAGTAGCTGCAGTGTATACTACTACTGCTTTTCTACAGAATCAGTTGACCAACACTATTTCCTACATCTATCTAGAGCACCCTGGAGATTAGGGTAAAATATGTAAAAAGCAGGGATTTTAAAAATAGTATTTCAAATTAATCCCATCACAACAATGTGTAAGAAACTATAAAGCAGGACAAAGGTTATAGGAAATGGAAGTAACAAGAGATCTTCACACAATCCTCCAAAAAAAACAATGGTATGAGGAGAGAATTAATTCTTTTTTAACAATTATGGGGGAGTAAACACCACAAAACTACCTTTCTCACAGTTTTACAAAGATAACTCCATTTTCTTCATTAACAAATGTTTGATCGGAACCTGGAAGCAAAGTTCTCTAGATGTTCTAATTTAAAATTTGCACTTTTGAGTTTTTAGTCTTAATCAATGGAATCAATGAGTTGCTGTGTGAGAAAGACATAGCAAATTACATGAAAGGAATTACATTAGGAATATAGGGTTTGACCTGCTGGTACAGTTATACATAAGTCCTTTTATGAGCATAAAATAATTACATGAACACTAACAAGTTCAGCCTCATGGTACTTTGGCAATGTAAGCATTATTTCCATTTTATATACAAGTAAAAGAGACACAGCTAAGTGGCTCAGTGACCCACAGGAAGTCAGTGACACAACCAGGAATAGAACCTAGACCTCTCAGCAGCTAGTCCCATGCTTTAACCACAAGAGCAGCCACCTCCTTCCTATCTCATATTAGCACAACTCTAAGTCTTGGTTGCATCAGCTGCTAATTTAAGATGTCTAAGCATGTACTGTTGTAGAAATCTGACATTATGAAGTTGAGCAACCCACATTCATAAATCTGTTTGAACTTAATCACCCGAGAAATCAGGATAAACTGTCTTTAAATGAGACTCAAAATGGTCATAAACTTTCGGTTACTTTAAAGTTTTTCCTTCAGAAATAAATTTCAGATGGATTAACGAATCTGACAGCAGTATATACTTGAGCTCTTCATTCCTGTATATTCTTTTGCCTGCTACCTGTGCGTGATACGCAATTTGGACCTGTTTGATCAGAATGGGACTAGCACATGAAGGTAATATCCAATCATAGAATAACCAGACAATCCTAGAGAGGAAATTATTATCTTCAAGACAGTATGAAATCAATGAAGTTAAGAATTTGGGATATCCTTGAGCCCAAGCTGAAGGATAAAATCCATTATAATTAGAGGTAGGAAGCCTGGTATGATCATGGCTTTACTGAATTTAAAGCAGGCACGATTGGATTTTGTTCTTTTTTTGTCTAAGCCTCAAAGTTTGGGAAAAAGAGGATTATGTTTAGTTGGCAGGGTTCTTGTTTTGACCCGCTCTACAGTTATCTATGAAAAATCTGTATTACGCCTAGTCCTATCAGTTTTGCTGGATCCAAGGCACAGCATGCTAAATGCAGTATAACAATACCGGAGTGCAATCTCCAAAGAGTTTGGAATCATACCAAGGGGTAGATCTCTGACATCACTTCAAGAAATGTGGTTTATACTATAGGCTTTGCTACACACATGTATAAAACACCACCAATAGTTTAAACTTCTGATTTTCTTCAAGTAAAATTATGTATATAGAGAATGTGAAAATTGAAGACAGAAGTACAGTGGAATATTCAAAAATACCTTTAACAAACATATCTTCCCAAAGTGAACCTGCCAATAAAGACAGAATAAGATATGCTAAGACAAAGTTCTTGTTATTAGTAAAAGACCACCAGATATATAAATCTAAAAACTACATAACACAAGAGAAAATACACAGTTACTTTCAAAAAAAGGCAGCAATGTAACAGTATTCTAGCTTACTTAAACTCCCTTTCTTTAAAGCAATGCAATTTCCACAATCAAAACTTGTTCTTCTGACTGCTAGATTTACAGTCACACTGATAGTCTCATGCTAGTGCATGAGATTGCCCTCTAGATGTTAAGTTTGGCTAGATAATTTTTCTTTCCATCCAGAATACTGAGATGGGACGTGCTGTGTGATTTGTGATTTTAAACCTCTGTAAGGCATCTAGAGACTTGGAGCATAGACACAGTGGAAACATCAAAATAACTAAGCAAAAGTTGGAACTAGCATATTTTTGCAAAGAGAGAAGGAGGCATAAATCTTTCACCTCTATTAGCTTTTACGATTTCTGTCCTTCTCAAGTCATCTTAAAAATCACAGTATCACAGACAGAGTCTCTGATAGATTGATTGTTCTAACCTCAGATCAAACCATAAAACCCTACCTAGCACACCTTAGAACCTGTTGCACAGAAATTTAAGAGAGATTGTATGGTCCATACTAGTACCCTTATCCACCTTGAGATTCCACAATGTATCCTTTCTCATTTCAGTGAGACTATTTTTGCCATATGATTCAATATAACCTGCTTCAAATTTTCTGAATAATTGAAATTAATAATGAATAGTAATAAGTATATGTAGAAATAAGGGTTTCTTTTTCAGAGGCAACAAACTCTTCAAAAAGACTTACCATGAAAAACTGAATTATTAAAAGTAATATAAAATGTGATTCTTTTACATGGAAAGAGATAACTAAGGATTTTATAGTCAATAAAATACTCCAAGTATAACTAATCTTCTGTGAAGACAAGTTATCCTCTAATTTTAAAACTAGAACTGATGCTTAGAGGCCCTTCTGCTTGTCTTTGAATTTAGGGAAGAATTGCTCATGCTCATGAAGGCCTAACCCTGACATTTTATTATTGTTTCATAATGCTTGAAGATCCCAGTCAAATTTAGGAATTCTCTCAGATAAGTAGGTGAGAAATTCTGCATAATGCAAAACCAGGCATTGAAATAATGCAAACAAAAGCTGTATGAGAAATTAATAATTTCTTTATTATCACCGTTTCAATACTGTGTAATGAAACTCTAGAATTAATTATAGAATAGATAATATATTTGTAGCCTGTTTTATTTCTTTACCCATATGAAATGATTGGCTTTCTGTGTTCCATGTGTGAAAAACCCCCACTCTCTGTTAATACAGAAAACCGGATTAACGCAAGCTATAATAAAGCACATTTTTAACTTCCAAAGAAAATTTATGGGCTCTTCATCTCTTGATTCTTCAAATTAAGATTAGTTGTCTTTCTAAAAGAGATATTTAATGAGGCACCAAATACTACCTAAAAATCCATGTTAAGCAGGAAATCAATGTAATTTTTCCTTTTCTATCTCAATCTGTTAAAACATACATTTACAAAATCTAATTTGTATATATGTCAATATTACTGTTTCTGCTTTGTATTTTATTAGTTCCGTACAAAGGATGAACTTGCTAAGAGAACATAATGCTTATAACAAATAAAATGATATGGTATTTGTAATACTTCTCTGAAAGCTCTGTTTGGCTGATTTCTCTTCACTGAATGATATACCCCTATTTGCAATTTAATTAAAATCTAAACTATGCTTTGCATTTCTGCTTTACTTCTGAACTTATTTCGAGTCTAGGCTCAAAGTATGAGTTTATGGTCACAGTCGGATATCCATTAGTATATGTTAGGCTTTGGAATGCTCCCAGTTTCATGTAGTTTTAAAAAATTTGCATGTTAAAGCCCAGATTTTTGGGAGGGCTCCTCTGTTAGTCAGACACTGAAACTAAACGGGTATATTCCTCAGCAGTTTGCACAGAGAACAGTGTTGTTTCTGTTCTCAGCAGAGCTAGACCCAGATTCTGTGGAGGTGTCCAGCTAAGATCCTTCTTCTTTTAACATTGTATTGAAACTACCTGAGGCATTGCTGTAAAATGATTAGAAACAGTCATAATTCTGGTATTTAACCCTGTGCTGTTGTTATTTCACCCACATTTGCCTGTTTATCCATCCATAGCATCTTGTACTAATTCTGAGGTGTTGTTTTACTTGTTTCTAGTACCTGGCTCCTAATTCTGAGCCAGGGTATTACTGAACAGGTATTACTGATGTATGCTAAACAAACAAACAAACAGTTTACAAAGGATTTCCAGGCTAAAAATTTTGGATGGGGAGAAAAGCATGGATTAAAAAAAAAAAAAGAACAACCCAACCCTTGATATGTCAAGGCAGAAGTAACACTTACTTCAAGCCTATACAAATAGACAGCTAATTCTCAACAAAATTAGCACGAGGCTTCAAGCCTCTACAGACAGAAAGACTGTTCTCATAAACAAAAAGCTGTAGGCGATGTTAGTATCTATAAGTAGAGCAGGTATTTTGACGTATTCAACTCTAATCTATAAATTGCCTTCAGTATACAAATAATGAAGCAAATGTAGGCTCTCTTTCAAAATGCTTGATGACTAAGAACGATAATGAGGTAAAGTTCGGATCCTCTGAATCTCCTTGTGATGTCCAAGAGATCAACAGTTTTTAAAGATAAACTGTTGTATCCTGGGGCATCTCGGCTTACAAGATGACTCCCTAAAGCCTGTTGATCTTATGACTTTTTTTTCCACATCTAACTTCTTTTTAAGAGATTCTGAGGTGAAATAGAGGGAGGCTACATGCTTGTTGGAACTTGCTCTCCACTGAGCCTTACCGAGCTCTGCCTGTACCATTTCTCTCTGCATTCCTGGAGGGAGGAGGGAAAGGGGGATAATGGTGGTGGTGGGGAGATAATCTGTAGCTATAAGAAAGTGAAGGGAAAAATAAATGCCATTTACCTCTGTCACTGCTAAGAATCGTTTCAGAAAAGCCTTTACTCCTGCCATAGTGGGGTACAGGCTGCCGTGAGGTGACCAAGCCAACTACAGGCAGCGCAGAGGAGTTAGCTGCAGAACGGGAATGCGAAAGGAAAGCAGTTAGCAGCCGGAAAAAAAAACCAAACCCCTGCATTTTCAGTTAACAGGAGATTACAGAGAGCAGAGATCAAATTCCAGACCCGCTCAGCGGCCCGCGGGCTGCCCTCAGGTACACTCCTGCGGTGTCGCTCAGCGAGCACGGACCCGGAGGGAAGTGGCTCGGGAGAACGGTCGCGGTGTAAAGAGGAGAGGCAGGAGCAGCGCAGCCGCCTCCTCCTCGTCCTCGTCCTCCTCCGGGTCGCGCTCCGGGGCCAGCTTCGCCCCGTCCCTCTCGGTGCCATACCCGGCGGCCGCCGCCCGTACCTCAGCCCGGGTCCCTCCGCGCGGTTACCTCAGCCTCAGCCCCCGCCCCGCTCCCGCCAGCGGCTCGCCCCTCAGCGCCGGCCGTGTGGGACGGAGGAGGCGGTGCCGGGCGGCAGGGGCGGTGCCTGCCCGGTAGGACGGGCCGAGCGGGGGAGTTTATCCCACTAGAAGGGAACAGTTTCTCCCGCTGAGGCTTTGACAGCGCCGGGTCAGTGCGGGCTGCGGGGGACCTTCCCCTGAGGTGAGGGGGCAGAGCCCCGCGCTGAGGGAGACATGGGGGGGGGGGGGGGGGTGCATCGTGAGGGGCGCCTCTGTCTGGAGAGGGGTGGCGGAGCTCGGAGGGGCTGCCGGCGGTGAGGGGAGGCGTGCGCGGGCAGGAGCTGCGCCCCGCGCCGGGTAAGAGGCTGTGGTGCTGTGGATGCTCGGAGTGGCGGGAGGGAAGGGTGCGGGGTTAAGGCGCTTTTCCCGGAGCGACGGGGATAACCGGGGCGTGCGGGGCACGGCCCTGAGGGGACACGGGCTGCCGGCGTCCGTGTGGGCGGGGAGAGAGCGGCCGGGGCTGCCCCGCGGCGGCCGTCGACGAGGCGGCGGGAGGACCCCGCGGCCCGGGCTCCTCCAGGTGCGCCCCGCGGCGCTGCCCGGCCCGGCCCGGCCCGGCCCGGCGGCCTCCCCCGAGCGGCGGGAGCCGGGCGCTGTGTCCATGGTGCTGCACTCGGGCAGGGAGCGAGGCTCGGGAGGGGAGCGGGGTCCTGCGACCGGCGGAGCGGGTGGATAACCTGCCGCCGAGGTGGAGGCGGCGGGGATGGAGGGAGGCACTCGGGGCACACCGCAGGGCGCCTGTTCCTGCTACGCTCGGGGGAAAGAGCGCAGAGGGAAGCGCTGGTGCTCACCTGGCTCACTCAATGAATGAACAGCCATCTTTTTGGTTCCCCTCACACACTTAAATTTCTCAACCGCAGAAAGCCGGGGAGCCTTTCTGAGCCTGCAACAGCTGAGTTGCTGTGTTGAAATATAGTATGTCTTGATGGCATGCCTCAGGTTTGCAGGAGCATTTTGTAATCTTCTTGGTGTCATTTCTCTCCAGGGTATTCTACAACTGGAGAGTGCAAGTTCCTGTGGTGTTGTAACTTTGGGGCACTGTGTACACACGACAATACAGCGCTGACTTAACAGTGATGTATTTATTAATATCAGTGATGTAAGACTCGTATTTATTCTGATGAAAAGCCCAGGACATGACAATACAGGGCTGAGTTAACAGTGATGTATTTATTAATATCGGTGATGTAAGACTCGTATTTATTCTGATGAAAAGCCCAGGAACTTATCAATTTCTTCATACACTGTGGAGTCTAGATTCCTTTAAATCAGAAGGATTGATTATAATTATCCTTGAAATATCTAGGGTTGTGGGCTAGCCTTGTATTTGTCACCTGCTGCCCCATCTCTGACAAGTTTTTGCTCTGGAACATGCTTGAAATGCGCCATTAAAAAATGAAAATAAATCTGGTACCAATTAGTCTGTAATTTAATCAGTAATTTACCTTTTAACAGGTTACTATGATTTGTTACTAGTTAACTAAAAATTCCCAGTGTACACCAAGTAACTGTGTCACGGTTTAAGCTGAACCCAGGACACTATGACACATGATACTCAGTGCTCTCCTTTGGAGAGAAGTTTCCTATGTTGTGCTCCCATTAATATCAGAATTTGCTGCATGAAGTCACATGTTTGACATCATTATTCTCTTTGGCTGTCACAGAAAAAAAACTTGCTGCAAAAATTGCTTAGAGATTTAACTATGAGATTATAAGAAATCACTCAGCGGTGTGTTCAGTCATGTGGTATAAGCATGGACTTGTCAAGGGGACACAGCTGAAAAAATAGTTGGCATGGACTTTGAATGATAACCAATCAAATACAATTTAAAGGTATATTTACACAGGTCACTTTTGAATTTGAATATTCTTAGGCATCGGTCTCATAAAATAGCTATTAACTTTTAGTGGTTCAGAGATTATATACTTCTAAACAGCCTTAAGAGAGGATGTATTTCTTAGAAATGCCTCAAATGTCAAATTCCTGAATAATATAATTTGTTAAACACCAGCATTCAATGCAAATTCCATTATCACTAAGAATGAAGGTGGCAAAATGTTAGAATTTAATTGAAGAATATTGGAGCTGTGCTTTTTAACCTTCCTTATGGCACTGACAAAAACACCCGCTCTCAACATTGCCTCTAAATCTGACTCTTCTGTGAGCTTTTTGGAACAACCAGATGTCCAATTTAAAGTCAATAACATAAATTAAGGCTCAGCTTCAATTACTCGCAGTACAATATTTCTACTTATACCAGTGGCTAATTAAATGAAGTTCACAAAAAGTTATAGTGTAAAAACAAGGAAAAGTTTAAAAGTAGGACAAAAAAACTGTCTTTAACAAAGCTGGACTAAATAATGAAAGTATACTTAATGATTTTTTTTCCCCACCTTGATTGCTGAGGCTCTCTTTTGGATTTATTTTTTAACATATAATCTGTTAAGATTGGTGTTGAATATATTTTCTAGCCAGTTTTTGATAGCCTAATCGTAAATCGCTTGTTGTGCACCTATGGTATTCAAAATTTGAGTTTCTTTTACTAGCTTTTGTCACAAGGATTATTGCTGGATTCTCCTCTGGCATGCAGTAAAACAGTTTCCAGTGCAATTATTCAAGCAAAATTAAAACACAATTAGAAACTCCCCATGCTAGGTTCTTTTGAAGTTATGGATACAATCCTTCCCATTGGTTATTGCTATTAGTTTTATTTATTAATCACTTATAGGCTTATTGAATTTAGCATGATACTGCATGATGAGTGCTAATAATTCCATGCTGTATTTCCATAATGCTGTGTATTTCTTTAACAGCAGGGATCTATTTTTCATACCTAATCTATACCTATATCTATTTCATACCAAATGCTCTTTTTATATTACTTAACTTTCTGTGAACTAACAAAAGAAAAAGTTAGAAACAATCCAAAGCAAGAGAACATTGTCGTAAACTCAGGTCCTACATACCCATGCCACAAGAAAACGTTGGGGTTTCCGTTAACTGGTCTGAAGGTTTTCATTTAACTCTTACAGATCACTTGGAAAAAGCTCCCCATCACACACACACCCCCCTTTTTTTTTTGGGGGGGGGAGGCTTTTCCAAGGCAGAACGAGAAATGAAAGAGCCGTAAGATTTGGTTGTCAGATATTTAGATTCCCAGGGCTGTGAAATGCAGATGGAGTCCTACATTCAATGGCAACGCTCTTGCACTTCTTTTGTCTGTTCCCCCACACACACCTGCTTTTTTTTTTTTTGCCTTTTTTTTTTTTAAGGAAGGACAGTCCATCTTTTTTTCGGTTGTGTTTTCTGTCAGGTTCCAGTGTCAAAGCATGTAGAAAATGCAGGTGAGTGGGGCTTGGGATGCTTTCACATCTTGCAGGCATAAGGAGACATGAAGGAGAAAATACATGTGGCAACCATAGGAAAGACTACATTTCTACTTCAGCATCAGGTCTTTTACTGCAATACGGACTTCTCTTTTGCCTGTTACTACAAAGATGTCAGCTCCTCTCACACCACAAGGCAAATATTTGCTTATATTTATTCTTTGTTATTAAAGTGGAGGGGAAAAAAGTCTATCATGTTTCTGAATGTACCACGATGCCCAGCTCATGTGAAGATACATACAGTAACAGCTCTTCTTGGTTACCTGTGTGATCCTGCCCCTCTTCTGGCAAAGCTCATGTACTCAGGCAGGGATTGGCACTGGGCTGGATCTGCACGTGGAGCAGAGCCCACACCACCTGAGCTGCTGCAGAGGTTAAGCCAAGGCTTTCTTAAAGAGAAAACCTAGAAACATACTAGTGTGAGGTGCCCCTGCGCATGGCAGGGGGCTGGAACTAGTTGATCTTAAGGTCCTTTCCAACCCAGACCATTCTGTGAAATATACAACTAAACCTATTGTAGGCTTTTATTCTTTTAGTTTGGAGGTGGGGGGAAAGCAGCAGCAAGGCCTATTCTGCAGTCTTCATATTTAAGAATTTTTGCAGACCTTAAGCCAGTTTGATGAGGTTCACATTTTTCTCCCACTCCACCCACACCTTCCATTATATTTCTTGGCCTGTTTGTCCTCTCCTAAACCTCTCTATAGAACTGAACTAAAGAATTACATCATTCTCTAATTAAAATTCATGATACATGAACTATATAAATATTTTTAATTACCTGTGTTGCATTAGTACCTAGCAGCCTAGTCAAGACTGGGGCCGTCTTGTTACTCACTCAGATGACAATGTTGTACCTATCCATGATACTACATTATCTATGGCATGAGAATGCGTATAGTTACAGATTTACAAGAGAGACACATTGCAGTAGTGAGATTGATGCAAAACTTTTAATTTAAAATTTCAATGTGTTGATTTATGCTTACAACAGTAACGGATTCTTACAAAGTTAATAGATTCTAGTCTGTGTCATAACAAATACAAAAAGTTAGGTTTGTGTATGACGTCAAATCCTCAAACTTATAGAAAAAAAAAACAACCCTAAACTTTTAAGCAGCACCTATTCTCTAAATATAAGCTGGTTTTAGTTTGCAGTTTCACTAGATTTCACTGCAAATAGAAAAATTATTCTGCTTACAAAGGGGAAGATAGGTAATTACCTCAAAAGGCAGGTTGTGAATTTCTGGAATCGCCACACAGATGATGCTTCGTGGACTTGCATAAGCAACCCTCTTCCCTCATGACTAAGCAGATCACCTCCTTGCCATGCGGTCTGCACACTCAGGACAAAGTCTATGAATTCAAGTCTATGAATCCCAAAGTCTACTCTGCTGGTTGATAATTAGCAATTTAAAAAACACAAAGCTTACGTAGCTTTGTGGATGTATGTTCAGGCACAGGTACGCTTGATGGCTGCTGAGATGAACATGTATGTATGGTTATGTGTGTTGTTGTGGGGGTATGTGTGTGCAGGTAATATATTAACCCTATGTTATAGAATGGCTTATCTCAGTAATGCTGAAAGGCTATATATAGCATCTGATAACAGTATAATAAATATTGGGTAATATTCCAACAGAAAAATACACAGAACATTCCACGGTATCAAAGAAAGATGATGATGGTTTATTGGAAGATGCATAGAGTCTAGCAGTGCCAGTGCCAGCTTCATCCAGGTCAGTGGCAGTTCTGCTGTTTCAGTAGGGTTAGGTCTGCAAGCTATGTGCAGCTTAGAAATTCTGTCCTGTATACACTTGCTTCTCGTTCCTTACTACTTACTCTGGTTTTCTTATACTGAAAATACAGGGTCTGACTCTAAATGAATTGCTGTTTGCTCAGTGAGACTAAATGCCTGAAATTAAATAATCATGAATATATATTACAGCAAAAGTCCTACATATTATTCTGTAAAGTCTTCAAGAAACGCCAGTGTAACAGGAGTAGTATATTTATCTGCCTTTTGTTCTGGAATTTATGTGATCAATTTCTTAACGTATTTTAGCTCTAAATGAAACACTAACATTTTGATACAGACACTGCAGTTGGTGTTAGTTTATTCCAGACCTTCAAGTTAGAGGAGTGTTCTAGGTTTGCCTTTATAACAGCTATTACTGGAGGAAAATTTTATACTTCTTGCTGTTTTATGCGTTATTGGAATTTCATGAGCTCCATGGGGACTCATGGCTTTCCTCTGTATCACAAGTCTGATTGTGAGGTGGTTTAGATTCCCTTTTGCAAGTATCCTATAGTACTTTTATAGGAGACCTCCAGCTACAATTCCTCTGACTTACCCGTGTGTCTCTAAAATTCTCAATATGTTATTTTCATACAAACACTTTCAGCTGAACAGGCATAGGGAATAAGTAAGAGTGATGGAAGTTTTCTCACTGTCCTGTGTTTTTCCTCTGAGTTTGAACAAATTGCTTTTAAGAGAATTTTGTATTTGAACAAAGTAGCCCTGCCCAGAATTATGATCTTGTCTTAAACTTTTTACACAATATGTGATTACACTGCATTGCATCAAATAGGATTTTATGTTATAATATTGCATTATAAGTCCATAGTACTTGTGTGTTTGTTTAGATTTATTGAACAGTGATGTTGTGTAACTGCTGTAACTATTCATGGTTGTGTAGTAGCAATTTTGAAGTTTGAGAGGCTTTGAACTTAAGTTGCTGTCTGTATATGAACAGAATGATGTACTTTTTCAATATTTAAGCTAGGAGAATATTTTAATACCTCTGTGAAATCAGTTCTCAACCATGGTGGTTTGAAACATATGTCAGACTACCAAAAGAGTCACTCTGCTACACCAAAAAAAGAACTATGAAAAGAAAAATGTTAATTACAGGCTTTAACATTCACACCAAGATCTTCTAGTAGGGGTGGTCAGAAAAACAGGTTTTACTACCTCGACCTGGTGCTTTGTGGTGCTATCTAATATGGGGGCTTGTGGAAAAATGCGGCCACTTCTATTTACTGCCTTTCATAATGTACATATTTCCTCCTGATAGGTTTAGGTACTGCCTTTTTATGTCTACAGTAAGAAGAGTTTATCGTTTCATCTTGAATATGTTTTACTTGGAGTTACTGTTCACTGTTCACTACAGTGGTATTTCAGCTACAAAATTTTATGCTGAATCTCAGCTTTTAAACTTAATAGAAGTATGTTATTATGTGGTATATTGCTAAACTCATTTTTAATCCTATCTAAGAATGTAAAGAAAAATATAAAGCCAATTTTATTTTCACTTACACCCAGAGAAATCTACAGATAAGCAAGTACAGAAGTACGTGAGGACAAAAGGTTGCTTTATTTATACAGAATTTTATCTGTATTCTCTAACCTTATTCCAGACCATATTTAATGGAATCGTGAGGAATGGCCACAGGCTGAGGCTCTCATTCCCTCCCAGACCAGGAAAAACATACTTTATTTAGTTGCTTTCTAGCTTGTAGTATGTCTGAAGCAGAGTTCTTGCACTGCCCTAGTGATTTAGCTCTTCCTCCGATCCTCCTGAAGTTAGCCACTGAGGGTGGATTTGCTTCACTGAGTCACTAAAGTTCTGTGGGGTTTTTACTGTACTTCTCTATCAGCATTCCTGGATGCCATCATTTACGCTTAAACTGCATGTCTGAGATGCCTCATTTGTACATCAAGGCATGTTAGTGTATTTTATTTTAAAAATGAACAGAATTGTTAAGAAAAGCAGGGTAGTGTTCGATTTATTTTAAATATCCCATAGGAACTGGAAACGGAAAAAGTGTTTGACAAATGCCTGCCTATTGCAGGGTGTAGGATTTTGAGGTTTGCCTAGAATATGGTTTGAAGAGTGTGGAAACAGAAGGTGTGCAAATATGCTTTCACTTTCAGAATTCCCAGCTGTTGCTGAAGATGCTTTGAGATGATAAACAAGATGAAGCTTTAAGCTTTATCTAGAACAAAAAAGATTCCATGTGAAAACACTTCTCTGAATAAAATAAGCATCATTAGAGAGCTTTCTTTTCCTGGATTTCTTTCTTTTATTTTTACATTTACACTAGAGCTATTGCCAGAATTGCTAAACTGGCCTGGAAGAGATTATTTTAGTAAAGATCTCAGCTAAGTATGAATTGTTACAATTAACTCCAAACTAAGTTTCAAAATCAGGAATCCAAAAGTTTAGTATGACAGCTCTTGAATTTAAAATCGGAAATAAGCAAGCATTGAAGAATTACTTTGAAAGGTTCAGGTTTGTAACAATGGTTTTAAAGTATTTATGAAGGCAGTGCAAAATAATTTCCAAAAGTCCCGTGGAAGCTCAATTAGGAATTCCTAGCTTGCCTTTCTTTTAATTATTTGGATGTTCACACTTCAGAAATGCTATTGCAAGCAAATTCCACACTTTCTTTCTATGATTAGCTTGCCAATTGATCTTGGTTCTGTTTTGCAAGCTTCTTGGAGTGTTAACTATGATGTGAGCTTGCCAATTGTCTTGAACTGGTTAATTGTTTTTGTGATGCAGAGAAGAACATTATGGCATGATGAATAAGAGACCCAAGAGGGTTCCTCGCACAGTTTCCTTTGGGCACTGCCCAAAGACTTGTTCTTTGGGTCTGCCTCATGTGATCAGGCTGGCTAACTTTACCCAGTTAAACTGGGTGTGGTGGATATTTGTTATGTTCACAAGATCTTGTTTAGTTTGGGGGGGTTTACAGTAATCAAATACCCCTATACCTCATATAAAATACACGCTCGAAATCATCACACTGCTTTAGGTTTTACTCAGCCTAGATGGGATAAAATGTCAGGTTATGCAAGTTACTTTCTGACATAGGTACTGACATTTGAGGAATTATTTTTCTTAGATCAGGATTACTAATTAAGAAATAGTTACTACAGCACCGTTGGCATAGGCAGGAATTTATGACAGTGCTTGAAGTACTTCACCATCAAGAGCCCATTTTTCCTCCAAGAAAGATATTTTCTTGAAAATGTTTGGCAATGAAAAACTTAATCCAAAAATAGAATATTAAAGATATTTTTTCCCACAGACTTCATGTTTTAATTTATACAGAAAACCCCTTCAGATGCTAACGTCAGAGTTTGCAGAGCCGAGCCCATCGTGAAATGATGTGTCTAATGGTCTATCGTTGTTTTCCCTGGTCTGTGCATTGGAATATGGTATCTGTCAAATTTTTAATGAGTCACAGTTTTGTTAAGAAAGGCATTTTTTTATGCAAGAGAAGAGTCACACGCAGGCCAGCAGCCCTCTGAGCTGTACACAATATGCTGTTTCATCCTTCATGATGTAATACTGAGGATGGGGAAGTCATGTGCATTTCTTTCCATTCTTCTTCTGGGTCACCAGGGTGCCAGTTCTGAGTAGGTGAGAGATCAAACGAAAACCCAGAAAACTGCTTTCTGTAGATTTTATCAGTTCTGTTTTTTAAAAAGAAAACCATTAGCAACAGTGTTTTGCTGCTTTACACACAAAAATAGCCATGCAGCAAAATTTGTGCAGAATAGGTGGAGTAACGTGTGATATTAAGATAGGCTCTGGCTTTAAAATATTGGGAAATAACTAGAATATCTTTAATCTGAATAGAGGCTACTGGTGTTCAGTATGATTAGATTAAATGCAGTGGTGGATTAAGACAGGGTTCTAAGGTCAATGTGGGACTTCGGAGCCCCAGCGGAGAAGAGAGCTGGGAAAAAGTAACAAAGTTGTCTACAGTGAATATCAGGAAAGGAAATTAATTAATTGAAAGACATTTGTAAATAAGGCAATGGGAAGGTTTGCTGAGACTGTTGTTTTTATTCATTTATCCCTTTTAATCTTTGCCAAAGAAGGTATTAAAAAAACCCAGGGAAATTCTTTAAAAACACAGATGCTTGAATTTCTTTCTCGAAGTTTAACATTTATTGTTGGAACCTTCTTGATTTTGAATTCTTCTGTCTGGTCTCTTATGAGATTTTTCAGCTTTTCTTGGTTTAAGATATGCTGACAATGCCATAACGTGGTCTCTCACTGTATTTTGGCATTCCTGCTCATTGTTCTTTCTCTGCCCAAGTTTGCTCTGTTTTTTAAATCTAGCTTTATTTATTACTCCTTTGAGAACAGGAACTGTCTGATATGCTAACAACAAGTGACAGCTTTCCTGTCACTAAGGACAGGAGAACAGACAGTGAATATTGCTGAAGTCTGAGGTAAGTTTAGAATAACAATAACTTGTACATACACTAACGTTGCTACTCTGTAGTGTGACTACATTCTCTGACGCAGGCTGTGCAGTGGATTCCTGTCTCCTCCCCCCTGCACTAACAGGAAGGCACAGCACAATGTTATGCAGCATGTGGCAATTTTAAATTTCTGCTGCAGCTTGACCCTTAGACAGCAGAGTAACTCTTTTGTTGTCACTGCTGAAATAACTCCACGATGAGGCTCCTTTGTCAAAATGAATAGATTAAAAAATACCTAACCCCCACAAAAAAGGCAAACCCACAACAAATTGGTAGGCGTGAAAACAGCGAGAAACAGTAGGACAATCTTTCCCCCTCCTCCTCAAATCTGCATTTTGAAGGGAGGAATAAAGGGAGGAAAGAATTTGAGGTGAATAAGGTGATAGACCCAGTGTAAAGGGGAGAAACAAAGTAGGGAGAAACTAATTGTCCTGGAAGTAAAGCAGATTAAAG